AAGGGAGGTTATCTCACCAAGGGAGGAAGAGAGAGAGGGCAATCAGTTCAAGAGAGAGCTGAGTTGAGTCTTGAGTAGTCTAGACACCAAAAGGGGGAAACACCAAGAGTTGTGAGAGTGTTCACAAGTGTATCAAAGTGTTGAGCAAGGGGTGAGAGAGAAAAGAGAGCTTGGGAGAGAATAGAGTTCTAAAGGGGTTTCTTTGTAAACCAAAGTTGTAACTTATTCTTTCATTAGTGAATTTCTCAAGAGGATCACCAAGAGGATGTAGGCAATTGCTGAACCTCTAAAATACTTGTGTCACTTTGTGCTTGGTTGGTTTCTCTAGTGTGTGTGTGTGTGATTCATCCATCCTTGTGTGTGTCACAAAGTCCATCAACAACAAGATCATTAGGGGAGTGAGTGAAAGTGTTTGTCCATTTTCACAACAAGCATGTGGTTCAGTAATGTTTGAGTCCTTAATTCCTGACACATGCACTTGATCAACAGAGAACTGCAAGAAGATAAACAGGCATAACAATGAAGCTACGGGAAGCCATTTTATTAACGATGAACATACCAACTTGAAGCAAGAAGACACCAACTAAAATTTAGTGCTAACATAGTAAATGAACCAAAACTTAAAGCCTAAATTTGTTACAGAATCGTTGGTACTCGACCATTAGCGAGGATATGGTTCAGTAATATTTGAAGGCTCATTTTCTGTGACATGGCCAGAGAGGCTTTTGGATTGGTCTGACTCAGCCAGTGCAAATATGTCTGATCTAGTGTTGTGATGCATATAGAATGCTGGTTGTGAGGGTACTGGAAGTACGACAGACTGGCTGTTGAGCATGGATACAACTGAAGCCACGGTTGGCCTGTCCACCACATTCTCTTGCACACACAGTAAACCAATGTGGATGCATCTCATCGTTTCGATTTGTGAACTTGTCTTCAACACGGGATCTATGATGTTTTGAATTGTATCCTCCCTCCAATTTCTCCAGGCCTATAAAAGTACATCAATATATTCAAAAAGAAATTTTACCAAGGCAAAACAGAGAATATATAATGACTTTAATGTGTTCATACTCACATAGGTTAACAGGTTCTCTTCATTCTCGCCATATTGGAAACTACCAATCTTTTTACCGCTTACAATTTCAAGAACTAACACCCCAAAACTGAAGACATCCGTTTTGACAGAAAAGCGACCATGAATTACATACTCAGGAGCCATATATCCACTGCATGAAATATATTCCATTTATTAGACATGCAAGTTTTTTTTGTTTTTCAATGAAGCTTTCTGTTGTAAGGAGAGCACAATATGAAAGTGTAAGTTAGCCATATTATCACAGTACTTACTAGGTTCCCCTAACTGTCTTTGTATCTCCTTGAGTTTGATCAATTACAAACAGTTTTGCCAATCCAAAATCAGCAATTTTGGGGTTCATATCTTCATCTAACAAAATATTGCTGGCTTTGAGATCACGATGAATAATTCGAACCCGAGAATCTTCATGGAGGTAAAGAATCCCTCGAGCAATGCCTCCTATGATCTTGTAACGTGTTTCCCCATCCAAATGCTCGTGATTGTTTGGGTCTAAATACAATTTCATTAAATGAAATATGAACTTTTTTAATCTTTAAGAAATTACTATAAATTATATGAAATTGGAGGCAGAGAAAATATACCAAAAATGAAGTGATCAAGACTTTTGTTAGGCACGTATTCGTAAATGAGAAGCCTTTCGTCTGTTTTCAAGCAAAATCCTAGGAGCCTTACTAAATTCCGGTGTTGAAGCTGAGCAAGTAACATGACCTCATTCTTAAATTCACGATCACCTTGTTCAGAATTTTTGGAGAGCCTTTTCACGGCTATAGGTTGCCCATTTAATAGCGTACCCTGAATGTTTAAAACAGAAAAATAAGGAAACCATGCTTAGATTAATACTTTTTTTTTTTGTGAAAGTGATTGTTGTGTTACCTTGTAAACAGCTCCAAACCCACCTTGTCCAAGCTTATTTGCATCAGAGAAGTCATCTGTTGCAGATCTTATAGTTTCAAAATCATATTGCAATGATTCCATCAGACTAACGTCTTCCGAATTCTCATCTGAAAAGGGGAAAAATTAGATAGCAAACGGAGTTCCAAAACCTCAGATAACATAAATAAACAGAGTTGAACTTACCTTGTTCAAGTTTTACCCTTCGTTTCCTTACTCTGAAGAAAAAGCATATGCTGCTGAAAATAGTGACAAAAACAACCAAAACCACAACGATGATGGTGACAGTTTGTTTTGTGTTACTCTTCTTTTTTGCTGAAAATCAGATGGGATATCTTATCAAAAACCAAAACCACACCACACAATTGTAAGACATGGATCAAATTGAAGATTTGCAGGGTAACCATAATAAGCATACATACCTTCTTCAGGTGCTGGTGCTGGCGGAACTGGAGCTGAAATATCTACTAACGAATCGACCGCAGACAAAAAGAAACTATTATTCTCATACCTCAAATTGCAACTGGGTTTAAGGACTCTTCTTCCATTCATTCCAACTGTTGGAATTTCTGTGACGGACTGGTTAAGGCAACGGCTGCAATTTTGCTTGTCCATGTCTGGAGTGCACTGAGCAAGTGCGTATATTGTTTCACCTCCAGGGACAGTTGCATGCCCTGCTGCAAATTTTTTAAGAGAATTCCCTGACGCAGCTCTGTCACTTAAAATACCCAACAAGGGGGTAAGCACCAGCTCAAACTGTTGAGGATTTTTAGCAGAGTTTGGGCTAGGCAAATGCTTAAAAGGGTCCGTTTGTTCAATACCAAATATCAAGTTGTATGAGTATCTCACCATACAACGCTCTGCCCATATGATTGCTTCCTTTTGAGTTGAACAATTTTGCAAGAGTTTATAAGTAGATGTGTTGAGACAAGTCTGACAAGAGTCCTGTGAGAGATCTCCTCTGCATAATGCAATTGCATTGATCTTGTTGGAGTCTTGTCCCCTGGATGAATTGTAAAACCCGTCGTAATTGTTTTGGGTGCTGGAGGAGAAGGAAGAGAGGAGGCTGTTGAGGTTCTCTTGGTACTCGTCACCTGCTGTGTAGGTGCCAGTATCAGAGCATTTCCAGCAGTACTCACCTTTTTCTGTGCACGTACCATCATCTTGGGCTATGGTGGGAGCGACAAGGTGTAAGATAATAATAGCAAGATTAATGAAGAAAAGCATTGATCTTGAGGAACCCATTTTTCTTGCTCAACTCACAACAAGCAACAACCACTTCGTCTTAAAGGAAAGACAAGATGGTTTCTTGACTTAAAAATATACAAGGTCTAGATGGCTTCCCGACCCTTAATTAGACCTCAAGTCATCTCTTTGAATTTTCTTCTGACATTAGCCAGATCACATGTTTTCTTCACTCTTTATCGTTGGATTGGAAGACTATGATGCGGGCCAACCAGAAAGCACAAGGCAATTGCGAGGTATATTCGTCAGACAGACACGTCAGTCCACCGATGAAAATGTGATGCAAAAATTTATTTTAATTTTAATATTTTAATATGGGCCTAAATCCATTAGACCAACCCAAATTAATCCGAAATTTATTGGTTTGTGTTGGGTTGATTGGATTTGGGTTTTGTTGAAAACTTGTTTCCAGTCCGGATTAGTTTGGCATTTGATAAATTGATACAAAACAAATTAGTTTAATTTGGCCTCTCAAATAAACGACAATTGGTTTTACTTTATCTATATATATAAAGCAAAATGCAGAGAATAGTGAAACATTCACAATACCAGAAAATGCCGTTTGTTAATTTAAATATTAAAAATTAAAATTATTAATTAAATAAGGATAATATGGTAAATTCATTTTTTTTTATATTAAAAAAATTAAAATTAAAAACAAAATCAGATAATATGTCCTACTTTTATGGAACATAACTACCTATATTATTTTTTTCTTAATTCTAAAATTAAAAAAAAATTTAAAAAAAAAAACCAATTGGCACACGCGTAAGGGGCTAGTGTACAGAAAATATTTAACTTGAGCTGCAGTTGTGATTAACGGAAAGTACATGTGTTTATGGGTTGGTAGTATTTTTCAAAGCTCAGTCAATTTTTAGAGATATAGGAATATTGGAAATCAAGAAATTATGTGGCTAAATTTTGGGCATCGACTGGTAATCTAATCCTGCGACTATCTTGGGCCAACTTAGCATTAGGTGTCGCTGGAATAGGATTGAAAGGACGCGTGTTGGTCTCTTCTTTCCCCATGTGTGGGTTGGTGTTTCCAAAGAGAGAAAAAGAGAGAGAGAGAGCCCAGCCTTCTTCCTCCTTCAAACTTCTTTCTACCATAACTTCCATTCTACAACTCCAATTCTTGCGCCGTTTTCTCCATTAGGATCGTAGGAACGAGCTCTACAGGTTAAGGTAAACCATTCTTGGATTTGGTTAAGTTTAGAACACGATTGAAACTAAAAGACAAGAATGCGTTTTGCGTACGTTTGCTTTTGGTTTTTTTTCCCTCTCTTTTATTTTTTATTTTTAAACTTCTCATAAAGAACACAAGTGGTCCCTGTACCTTCAGAAGAACACAAGTGGTCCATTAAAGTCTGCACTTTCAGACTAAGAAGCAGAAAGGTCCAGCAAGGTGATGAACCGATACCCACGCTAAGAAATTGGAAGCTGCAAAAAAGAAAGCCAAATAAGAATTCATCCCAAAATGCAAATTAAAAAAATAGCCAAAATTATTTATTAAAAAAAAAAACAGAGAGCGCACAAGAGGGACGGAGAGGAGTTGGTAGTGGGTTTCGATGGGTGGTTGTCGGCCATCTCCATGCGTATTGCACCGCCCCACCAACATATAGAATGGTCTTGATTGGTTCAGTCCGTAAATGCTTGCAAGCCTAAGACAATGACATGGTTTTCAATTTTAAGAAAACATAAATACAAAAGCAGTCAAGTACGAGTCTTGTTTTCTGTTACCAAAGTTCTTGTGCCCCATGTTTCCTCCCAAATTTTGTGACATATGGCACATAACTGGACAGGAGTTTAACTTCGTTAACTCTTTTAGTATTTTTTTTCTTTAATTAAAACACTTAAAATATATTATATTAGAAAACACGTTTGTCAAAAATATTTTGCAGGCCGCTTCATCTTCTACGTTACACTTCAACCCTTACATCTTCTCTGCACTGCAAAACTCAGCCACTTTATCTTCGCCGCTCTACAAAACTCAGCCCGTGCATATGGTTTGTTTTTCTAGTTCGCTTGTTAGTTGCAAGTTCATCAAGTAAGCACGCTATGCTCTTCATGTTTTTTCTTCTGCTTTTTAATTGCTGGTTTTGAGCATCGTATGCAAAACTCAGCCACTTCATCTAATTATCAAATGAATTGCGTAATGGGTATATAATTACCAAAACTCAACCCCATCATATATTTCGCTCGTTGACCATTGGTTTGTGAGGTAAGCCAAGCTCTACTTCATAATTTTTTTTCCCCTTTTTGGTTGATGGTGTTGGAGCCATCGCACAAGAAGCTTTTAAACGATTAATTTGTGATAATTATGTACTTGGAACACCCAAAAATTACTCGGAAACATGGGGCACAGAAACTTCGGTAACAGAAAAACCGGACTCGTCAAGGACAGCTTATTCCACTTGTGTCCAGTCCGGATTAGTTTGGCATGCCCATTCATTTTGAATTGGGCTTTTTGGAGTTGTCCATTCCGCACATCTTACACAACAGAAAAGGAACACTACAAAGCAAAACCCTATTACATGGGTCTTGACAAATTCAAGGACCAACAAACGAAGAGTGCCCTTGTTAAATTCAAAATTGTAATAAAACAAAATTGAATAAACTTTCTTGCCCTGCTTCGCTTCCAGACTCTCACAAGCATAATGACAATACCAATTGTCAGAACGACGGTGGCGACACTTTTATTGTAATGATACTCGTATTATTTCCTGCAAAAATCACAAGGCTCTGTTTGTTACGAACGTGGTGTTAACTAATTGGGGCTCAAACAAGAAATTAAGCAACAAAAATAAATAAATTATTATACCTTGGAAGGTTTATTAGGGTATCTGCTCCAGACTCAGAAAGGATTGGACTCAAACCTCAAATAACAGCTGGGTCTAAGAACTCTTCCTCCACCCACACCACCACAACACTCTGTAATATTTGGGATGGACTCTTTAAGGCAATCGCTGCAGTTTTGTTCGTTCAAATCAGGGCTGCACTGGACAGTTGCATATATAGTTTGATTTGTTAAAGGCACCAACGCATTCCCTGCTGCAAATTTTAAAACAGAGTTCCCTGCTGCAGCTTTCTCACTCAAATTTCCAAATAAGGGGTCGCGCACCTGCTTGTATTGTTCAGCATTTGATATCTTATTTGGGCTCGGCACAAACTTAACAGGCTCATATTCAAGCACACCGAAAATCGAGATGTTCGAGTATCGAACCGTACAGCGCTCTGCCCATATGATTGCTTCCTTCTGATTAGTACAGTTCTGCAGTAGAATGGAAACAGAGTCCTTGAAACAGGTGCGGCAATCTTTGAGTGCAACGTCCCCTCTGCATACGGCAATTGCGTTCACTTTGTTGGGGGCTCGTCCCAGAGAAGAACTGTAAAATCTGGGATTGATTTTGGGGTTGGAAGGGAAAGAGGAGAGGAGGGTGTTGAGGTTTTGATTGTAGATGTTGCCATTGTTGGTGTTTTTAGTATTGAAGCAGCTCCAGCAGTAGTCTGCTCTCATCGTGCAAACACCGCCCCCTGTTAGGGTATCTGCTCCAGACTCATAGAAAGGATTGGACTCAAACCTCAAATAACAGCTGGGTCTAAGAACTCTTCCTCCACCCACACCACCACAACACTGTGGAATATCTAAGATGGACTCTTTAAGGCAATCGCTGCAGTTTTGTTTGTCCAAATCAGGGCTGCACTGGACAGTTGCATATATAATTTGATTTGTTACAGGCACCAGCGCATTCCCTGCTGCAAATTTTAAAACAGAGTCCCCTGCTGCAGCTTTCTCACTTAAATTTCCAAATAAGGGGTCGCGCACCTGCTTGAACTGTTCAGCGTTTGATATCTTATTTGGGCTCGGCACAAACTTAACAGGCTCATATTTAAGCACACCGAAAATCGAGATGTTCGAGTATCGAACCGTACAGCGCTCTGCCCATATGATTGCTTCCTTCTTATTAGTACAGTTCTGCAGGAGAATGGAAACAGAGTTGCTGAAACAGGTGAGGCAATCTTTGAGTGCAACGTCCCCTCTGCATACGGCAATTGCGTTCACTTTGTCGGGGGCTTGTCCCAGAGAAGAATTGTAAAATCTGGGATTGATTTGGGCTTTGGAAGGCAAAGAGGAGAGGAGGGTGTTGAGGTTTTGTTTGTAGATGCTGCCATTGTTGAAGGTGTTGTTAGTATTGGAGCAGCTCCAGCAGTAGTCTGCTATCCTCGTGCAAACACCGTCGCTGATATGGTCGCCCACTATGGCAGGAGCAAGAGGGTCCAAGACCAAGAGTATAGGAAGAATGAAGAAAATTAGCAATCTTGAGGAACCCATTTCTCTGTTTGTTCCTCTGTATGAAAATAACTTCGGCTTTTATAGCAAAAACTGTGTTTGAATATTATTGATCCTTCTCTAGATTTTTTTCCTGATAGTGTAAATTACTCTTAAATAAATCTAATATACAGGAAGGGAGACTTGAACTTGAGAGGCGAACTCTCACTATCAAATTAGACGTAGAGGAGGGAAATTTGAACTCTGATTATTTTGTACCTTAATTAATAGAGAATTGTATTTACTTATTGCGTCTATGGTTCAACATTATTAATTCATTTATGTGGTCCACTTCTCACTGCTACGTCAATGATGGTTGTTGTCAACTTTACTCTAGAACCACAAAGTAAGTCGGTTTCGTGTTATTTTCCTCCTCCTTGGTCCAATAGGGCTGCTCAAATTAAGAGAAGACCTTGAACTGTACTTGTGGCCCCGGTTTAGATGGTTGCTTGACAACTTTGTTATTGCTCGTCTGTGGATGGATATAGGCTAGTGGCGGAGCCATTAACGGACCAGTGTGGTCCCAGGCCTCACTCCATTTTTTCCAATTATATATATATATTAGTTTTAGGATATTTATTCTAAAATAAACAATATACTAGGTTCTCATTGTCTATAAATTAATTATAAAAACTTCTTGATCTCTTATATATTTATCTCCCTTAAATTTTTTAGGTTAATTTATGATATTTGTACTAAAAACTCCTAAATTTACAACATTTCTTTCTTTTTATCTTTTATTTAACTTAAGCTTTGTAAATTTTTTATTTCCATCCTTTTTTCATGTATGAGTTCATTGAGTTGGGTACCTTTGTGTTGGGATTTATGAACCTTTTTTTAATTCTTCTCTATGTTAGAATTTAAATTATTATAAGTTCAATCTTTAATAGTGTACACAAATTTAAAATTTGAAATTCATGTTTCTAAAAATAAATAAATAATTCATTACAATTATGATTGTAACAAATATATATTATTGGAATTTAAATTATTATAAGTTCAATCTTTAATAGTGTAGACAAATTTAAAATTTGAAATTCATGTTTCTAAAAATAAATAAATAATTCATTACAATTATGATTGTAACGAATATATATATATATATTATTAATTTATATCAAATGATATTATGAAGTAGGCCAAAACGAGTAGTTAGTGTCATACTAACTTATTAAGGGGTTGTTGGCGAGTATATCCTATTCTATTTGGGTTTTATTTATTTTTCCTTTTGTATAGATATTATGTAATTATGATTCCACTTATTTCATAATTAAACCCTACTAGGGTTTGTAACCTTGTATTATAAATACCTCCTTTCGGAGAATGAAATAGATCTGAAAATATTCTACCCATATTGTTTGACTTGGTATCAGAGCCGACTTTCTGGTGACCTGTGTGTGTTGTGCCCACCCGTGTTCTACTATGTGCCATAATTTCTTTTTAGGGTTCTTGTGCCCGTGCCTATGCTGTGTTTATCGTATTTGCTTCGTGTTGTGTTTGTTTCCGCTGCTATCATGGGTGATGATTCCATAGTTGTGACTGGTACTAGTGCGTCTACACCGAAGGAGACACATCCCTCGCGTGATTACTCTACCCCGATTACATCTGACAAATTGGATGGCTCCAATTATGCCTCTTGGTCTTGTGGTGCGCGTATTACGATTACTAGTCGTCGTATGGCAAGTTGGATCAATGGGAAGAAGCCTGCTCCGTCTCAAGATTCCGCTGCCTATGCCGAATGGGAAGAAGATAATTGTCTGGTGCAGTCATGGCTTCTCAATTCCATGACTAAACCAGTTCGTGCCTTGTTCGAACATGGTGATACTGCTTTTGATATATGGGAGGCTGCTCGGAAGACCTATACTGTGACTCAGAATAGTTCTCGTTTGTTTCAACTCCGACGGCAATCCATACTTATAGGTCAGAATGGTGAATTTGTGAAAGTGTTCTATGAAAAACTTCATGCTATCTGGCAAGAGATTGATTGTCTGCGTCCGCATGAGTTTAATTGTTCTACTGATGGGGCTCGTCGTCTGAAAGAAATTGAAGCCGATCGAGTTTATGATTTTCTTGGCGGGCTTGTGTTGCATTCCTAAGAGGACACAAATTAATGTGCAAACAACCAATTAAAAAT